GGTTAAAAATGTGCATATAAATGAAGGCTCTCTAAACACTAGAACAGCTATTGGAGTGCATGTAAGTGCTGTGCAAGCTTCCATGCTGTCTATGAAGGCACCAGGCTTTTGATCTTTAACATCCCTGCTGTTCATCTGAAATTCTTCTGGGAAGCAATTTGGCAGTCTTGCTGATCTGTTCCAAATGAGTGCTGCTTTGTATTGTGGACAGTTGTTTATTATGGGGCAATATAAAGCCGGTCCCTCTGACAGCTCTTCCTGGATCTCTTTCCATCTGCATAGTTGAAACTGAATTCTTTCTTTTAAATCCTCTCGCTATCCCCATCTTGTTACTGACTGTTCTCCCTGCCCCTCTGGTCTGTACCTGGAAATCTTCCCAGGTCTGCATAATTATCTATGCCTTCAGGTTGCATCTAAAGTTTGATGCAGCTTCCTCCGTAACATTTCTAAGGTTCCATAGATCTTTGTCTTCCATCAAGTGTGCTCTAATTCCCTCTTTGGTCCAACAGAGTCATCCTCCCCTCTATACCATCTAAATCTAAGCTGTTATGACTGTTCTAATTGTGGGCTTCTTTCTTTTTCTTTCTTTTTTTTAATCCCTTCACTAAGCATATAATGCAAGTTACTTCACCTTGCTCCTAATGCCCTTCAGAAATGTGCCCCTTTTTATTTATCAGCTGTTGGCTCTTCTCTCAAATGGAGGATTATACAAGTCCACCTGGGATCTTCCCTTAGTTCAGTTATTTCCTGTCCTTTGTCCTTTCCATGCTACTCTATACAGTATCCTCAAATATCTTCTCAGACCCCATTCTGCAATGATTAAGGTAGCTAATGATGGAGAGATTGAAAGTCATTTGAGACTAGGTAAAATATAACAAATAAGAATCCTTGAACCTCCCTTACCCCTTGTGTATGAGACTGAGTTTTTCGCATCAGGAACAGTTTCCAGACATGTGGATAGTACTTCACATACTGTTGGCATTAATAGGCAAACTAATTCCACTTTGTGTCAGTTAAATCTTGTCAGTGAATTCAAGCCCTTCAGAAGGGAATACACTTAACTACTGTGCAATCCTAAACCTTTAGGTTAATTACCCAAACATATTTTCTGTATCTTGTATTTAAGGACAAATGTTTCAGCACATTTGAATTGTACCATCACCAAAAGATAGCAGTTGAAAAATTATTCAGGAATGTAGTTTGTTCAGGACAGAGCTGTGATGTTGAAATTTCAGTGGTTCATTCATTTTAGTTTCTGCTTCTGGCTTTTCTTCTGATCCTAAGGAAACCTTACTCCTCCTTGTTCTCCCCCCTGCCCTTCCAACTTTTTCCTGTTGATTGTGCAAAAATTTTATTATGAGATTTTTTCTAAAGTATCAGTTCCTAGATGATGCAACTATGTTAACTAGATCATCTTGTCTGTTTTTAACCAATTGTTGTTGTAAATGCAGAGAAATCTGGCTAACATATTATAATATTTGTCACAATGGCCTTGTTACTTGATCCACTGCTGGTCCTATTGAATTTGTATACTTTGTGTACAAATTAGCATTTATTGATGTTAAAATGTAGTTAGTCATTTGCAAATGTACATGCACAGTGATAATGGGCCTGAAAGGTACTGATCAATGTCTTTTACAGCACCTGTCAAGCCAGATGAGGTTTGTAAAGCAGTGGATATTCTTCAGGTTTTTTGGCATAGGGGATTAACTGTAACATTTTACAAATTTTCCTCCTTTTGTGGCAATGAATGCATGTAAGAGTGCAGAGCAAAGAACTAATAGATCATTTTACTCCACAATTGTGCAGTTATTACAGGGAGCATCTGAATTTTTGTAGGAATTGTATATTAAGCACTTAACTATATAGTCATATAGTTATATATTATAAGGAAGCAAAAAAAGGGCAGATTTTAAATAAGAAGACAAGTTTTATCAACACACTTCCTAC